ACCCAGCTGGGTTTTTCCATGAGTCGGGGTTTCACTCTTGCTCAGACAAGTCTCAAACTCCTGAGCTCAAGCAAGTCTCACTCCTCAGCCTCCCACAGTGCTGGAATTACAGGTATGAGCCACTGCGCCCAGCCAAGTGGCTATTTTTTTAAGAGACAGGGGGTCTTGCTCTTGCTCAGGCTGGTCTTGAACTCCTGAGCTCAAGCAATCCACCTGCCTCAGCCTCCCAAAGTGTTAGGATTATAGGCATGAGCTACTCCATGCCTGGCCCTTACTAATCCAATTTCTTGTTATAGTTTTGTTTTTTTTAAGGGGGTTGTGGGGCTTGCACCCAGCACTCAACCCTTTTGTTCATTTGTTTGTTTGTTTAGCAGGACCTGGCTGGGTTCGAACCCACCAGCACTAGAGCATGTGGCTGGCAACTTAACCACTGAACTACGGGTGCCCCCTGTTGTAGTCTATTTAAACTTTTTTTTATTCCTGAATCAGTTTTGGTAACTTGTATCTTTCTAGCAATTTGTCCTGTTCGTCAAAGCTGTCTCCTTTGTTGGCATAAAGCTGATTGTGAGCATTACCTTATAATTATTTTGATTTCTAAAATAATCAGTTTGATGGCTATCTTCCTTTTTCTTTCTTTTTTTTTTGAGACAGAGTCTCGAGCGTCGCCCTGGGTAAAGTGCTGTGGCAGCACAGCTCACAGCAACCTCCAACTCTTGGGTTCAAGCAATTCTCTTGCCTCTGCCTCCTACGTAGCTGGGACTACAGGTGCCTGCCACAATGCCTGGCTATTTTGGTTTGGTTGCAGCCGTCATTGTTGTTTGGCTGGATTCAAACCCACCAGCTCAGGTGTATCTGGCTGGCGCCTTAGCCACTTGAGCCACAGGCACCGAGCCCATCTTCCTTTTTCATTCCTGATTTTGATAATCTGTGTCTTCCCTCTTTTTTTTTTTTTTCTTAGTTGGTGTAGATAAAATTTTGATATATCCAAAGAACCAACTTTGGGTTGATTTTCTATTATTTTTCTGTCTTCTTTTTCACTGATTTCCATTCTCTTTTTCTTTCTTTTAAGACTAAGTCTTACTCTGTTACCCAGGTTAGAGTGCCATGGTGTCCTAGCTCACAACAACCTCAAACTCCTGAGTTCAGGTGATTCTCTTGCCTCAGTCTCCCAAGTAGCCACAACACCCAGCTAATTTTCTTCTGTTTTTAGTACCTCTTGCTCAGGTAGGTCTTGAACTCCTCAACTCAAGCAATCCACCTGCCTTGGACTCCTAGAGTGCTAGGATTACAGGTGTGAACTACTGGGCCTGCCCCCGATTTCCATTCTTATTTTTTATTTTTTATTTTTTTTTTGAGACGGAGCCTCAAGCTATCCCCCTGGGTAGAGTGCCATGGCATCACAGCTCACAGCAACCTCCAACTCCTGGGCTCAAGCGAGTCTCCTGCCTCAGCCTCCCAAGTAGCTGGGACCACAGGCGCCCACCACAACGCCCTGCTATTTTTTGGTTGCAGCCATCATTGTTGTTTGGCCGACCCGGGCTGGGGATTCGAACCTGCCACCTTAGGTGTACGTGGCTGGCGCCTTAGCCGCTTGAGCCACAGGCGCCGAGCCCATTCTTATTTTTAATATTTCCTTCCTTCTGCTTTCATTTGGTTTAGTTGGCTCTTATTTTTCTCATTTATTAAGGTGGAAGTTGAGGTAATTTATTTCATATCTTTCTTGTTTTCAAATATAGGCATTTGAAACCATAGTTTCCCAGATAATGCTTTATCTGGATCCTATGAATTTTTTTTTAAATTGCATTCTATAACTTTTTTTCATCCTGTAACTATTATTATTTTTTTTTTTGAGACAAGAGTCTCACTATGTTGCTCTCAGTAGATTGCTGTGGTGTCACAGCTCACAGCAACCTCAAACTCTTGAGCTTAAGCTATCTTCTTGCCTCAGCCTCCCAAGTAGCTGGGACTACAAGTGTCTGTCACAGTGCCCGGCTATTTTTTTGTATTGTAGTTGTCAATGTTTAGCAGGCCTGGGCCAGCCTTGAACCCGCCAGCCCCAGTGTATGTGGCTGGCATGCCGGAACCACTAAGCTATGGGTGTGGAGCCAGCACCCGGCTATTTTTAGAGATGAGATCTCTCTCTTACTCAGGTTGGTCTCGAACTCCTGTCCCGTAGCGTCACAGCTTTCAGCAACCTCAAACTCCTGGGCATAAGCAATTCTCTTGCCTCAGCCTCCCAACTACTACAGGGCCTACAGGTGCCCACCACAATGCCTGGCTTTTGTTGTTGTTGTTGTTGTTGTAGCTGTCATTATTGTTTAGCAGGCTTGGGCTGGGTTTGAACCTGCCAGCCCAGGTATATGTGGCTGGCGCCCTAGCCACTGAGCAATGGTCACCAAGCCTCATTCTATAACTTTTGATACGTTGTGGTTTCATTTTCATTCAGTTCAAAATATTTTTGAACTCTCCTTGTGATTTAACCCATAGGTATTAAGAAATGTGTTGTTCAATTTTTTCTTTGAGAGAGAGAATCTCACTATGTTGCCCTCAGTAGAATACTATGGCATCACAGCTCACAGCACCCTCTAACTATTGGGCTTAAGTGATTCTCTTGCCTCAGCCTCCCAAGAGGCTGGGACTACAGATGTGCGCCACAGCACCTAGCTATTTTTCTGATGTAGTTGTCGTTGTTTAGCAGGCCCTGGCTGGGGCAGTACCCACCAGCCCTGGTGTATATGGCCAGCCCACTAACCACTGAGCTATAGGCACCGAACCAATGTTCAATTTCCTAATATTTGTAGGAACATTGCTCATTCTCATTCTATTGTTCATGTCTCACTTAATTTTGTTGTGGTCAGAGAAATGTACTTTATATGATTTCAATGCCGTTAACTATATTAAGACTTGCTAAGCCAGGTGTGGTGCACACACCTGTAATCCTAACCCTCTGGGAGGCTGAGGCAGGTGGATTGCTTGAGCTTAGGCGTTCAAGACCAGCCTGACAAGACAAGTCCCCATCTCTACTAAAAATAGAAAAAAAAAAGGGTAGTGCTAAAGGTCTATTTCCTAGGCTATACACAGGGGACTGGTTCCTTGTTCTTCTGCCTAGGGGAAAGTCCCCAGACCTTGTGCAGAGAATGCCGTGTGCATATGCACATAGACATTAGTCTGTTTCTCACTGTTAAAACCCGCCAAAAAGCAAATCTCTCTGAGCACCATGGTGTGGAGGCGTCATCCATCAGCTTCACTAGTTACACAGGCATGTCTTAGGGCACCAACCACACGGGGCTCAGTCTCAGTGAAGCTGCTTATAAATAAATAAATAAATTAGAAACAAAATCTAGGCTCCGCACCTGTGGCTCAAGTGGCTAAGGTGCAAGCCGCATACAGTAGAGTTGGCAGGTTCGAATCCAGCCCAGGCCCGCCAAACAACAATGACAGCTGCAACCAAAAAACGGCCAGGCATTGTGGTGGGTACCTGTAGTCCCAGCTACTTAGGAGGCTGAGGCAAGAGAATTGCTTAAACCCAGGAGTTGGAGATTGCTGTGAGCTGTGATGCCACAGCACTCTACCCAGGGCAACAGCTTTAGGCTCTGTCTCAAAAAAAAAAAAAACCAGCCAGGCATTGTGACGGGTGCCTGTAGTCCTAGTTACTGGGGAGGTGGAAGCAAGAGGACCATTTTTGCCCAATAGTTTGAGGTTGCTGTGAGTTATGATGCCATGGCACTCTATGCAGGGCAAAAGAATGAGGTTCTTGCATTATGGCCTAGTATATAGTCTATCCTGGGGCATCTAATAGGTGCCTTTGAAAAGAATATGTACTTTGTTGTTCTTTTGGGGCATAGCGTTCTGTATTATTTTTTACAAAAGACATAGATTCTACCTGTAGAAGTTTACAACTCAATTCAGGAAACATACTACAAGTGCATTTAAAAAAGTACTCACTAGGGCTGTGCCCATAGCTCAGTGGTTACGGGGCTGGCCACATACACCAAATCTGGTGGGTTTGAACCCAGCCCAGACCTATTAAACAAGAACAACAAAAATAGCCAGGTGTTGTGGTAGGTGCCTGTAGTCCCTGTAGTACTTGGGAGGTTGAGGCAAGAGAATCACTTAAGCCCAAGAGTTTGAGGTTGCTGTGAGCTGTAATGCCACAGCGCTCTACTAAGGGTGACACAGTGAGACTCTGTCTCAAAAAAAAAAAGGTACTCACTAAAGTACATATAGGAGGTAGTAAAATGAAGAGTAAGCTCCCCAGGATGATACAACATTTGATTTTCAGGAAGGGGAATAACAAGGGCTAAGGTCTAAAATGGACTTAGAACTATTAAGAAACTGTCATTTTGAGCGGCGCCTGTGGCTCAGTGAGTAGGGCACTGGCCCAATATACCGAGAGTGGCAGGTTCAAACCCGGCCCTGGCCAAATGCAACAACAACAAAAATAGCTGGGCGTTGTGGCAGGCGCCTATAGTCCCAGCTGCTTGGGAGGCTGAGGCAAGAGAATCACCTAAGCCCAGGAGCCGGAGGTTGCTGTGAGCTGTGATGCCATGGCACTCTACTGAGGGCAACAGAGTGAGACTCTGTCTCTAAAAAAAAGAAACTGTCATTTTCAGCATGGTGCCTATAGCTCAGTAGTTAGGGCCTCTGGCCACATACACCGGGGCTGGCAGGTTCAAACCTGGCTGGGCCTGCTAAACAACAATAACTACAACAACAAAAAAATAGCCAGGCATTGTAGCAGGTGCCTGTGAGGTTGCTGTGAGTTGTAATGCCATAGCACTCTATACAGGGCAACACAGTGAAACTCTGTCTCCAAAAAAAAAAATAAATAAATAAAGCTGACTGCTCATGACTGGTATCAGGGATCCCACTTAGTTTGGTCTGGAAAAGACAGTTTATCACTGAAGCATAGATTTTTTCAAATCACCTTTATCTTAGAAAATACATTTATTATAACTGTGTCACAATTAACCACTCATTGTTCAATGTAATGACAATACCTGAATCTAATTGATAGACAATTTTGCCTTTTTCCTCTCCTACAATTTCTGGTACCTTTTCATTTCCTGTAGATTGATAGAAATATTCTGGTTGAGGTGGAACCCATTCTGAAAGGAGACATTTTAAAAAGCACAAGATAAATAACATAAAAAGCACTATCAGAACTGATATACAACTAAAATAATAATTATTAAAATAGCTAGTTTGGTTGAATCAAAACAAATTCCCACCCTAAGTTTTCAGCTTGTTTGTAAATTATGTATTGCTTCTTTCTATAAAGACTAAAAAGAGGGCTGGGCAAGGTGACTCACAGCTATAATCCTTGCACTCTGGGATGCCGAGGCAGGTGGGTTGCCTGAGCTCACAAGTTTGAGACTAGCCTGAGCCAGAGTGAGACTTCATCTCTAAAAATAGCTGGGTGTTGTGGTGGGCGGCTGTAGTCCCAGCTACTTGGGAGGCTGAGGCAAGAGAATTGCTTGAGCCCAGGAGTTTGAGGTTGCTATGAGTTATGACGCCATAGCACTACTGAGGGTGACAAAGTGGGACTCTGTCTTAAAAAAAAAAGATTATAAGGAGACTTTTAATAAAAAGTATATATGATTAAATAATAAACTATAAACATAAGACTTAAAATAAGCCAAGAAAGTCAATATAGCTATTACGATAGCTCTTCAAAATGTGGTCCTGATAGTCTTAAAGTCAGGAAAATATTGACAGATACATAGGAAAATAGGTAGCTGACAATTATTTTTCTTACCACAGAGGAACAAGTCTATCGTTTCAGAGGACACAGGGCTTTTTGATTAGCACTGAATTAAAAAAGATTTCTTTCAGGCTGGGAGTGGTGACTCCCACCTATAATCCTAGCACTCTGGGAGTCTGGAATGGGAGGATCACTGGAGCTCAGGATTCGAGACCAGCCTGATCAAAAGTGAGACCCTCATCTCTACTAAAAATAGAAAAGAAATAACCAGGTGCTGTGGTGGGCACCTATAGCCCAGCTACTCTGGAGGCTGAAGCAAGAAGGATTTCTCAAGCCCAAGATTTGAGGTTGCTGTGAGCTATGATGCCATGGCATTCTACCAAGGGTGACAAAGTGAGACTGTCTCAAAAAAAATTTTTTTTTCTTTCATAGGACTTCAGCCACTTGTCAGCATTGTTTTTTTTTTTTTTTTTTTGAGACAGAGCCTCAAGCTGTCCCCCTGGGTAGAGTGCCGTGGCATTACAGCTCACAGCAACCTCCAACTCCTGGGCTCAAGCGAGTCTCCTGCCTCCGCCTCCCAAGTAGCTGGGACCACAGATGCCCGCCACAACGCCCGGCTTTTTTTTTTGGTTGCAGCCATCATTGTTGTTTGGCGGGTCCGGGTTGGGGATTCGAACCCGCCACCTTAGGTGTACGTGGCTGGCGCCTTAGCCGGTTGAGCTATAAGCGCCGAGCCAGCATTGTTTTAACTATAGTAGCCAGTGATGAATGCCAAGGGCATGTAAAGACACAACTCACATAAACTAAATCTGTGAGCTCAGGGCAATCCAGCTGCCTTGGCCTTCCAGAGTGTTAGGTTTATAGGTTTACACAACTCAATAAAAGATGCTTATTTATTTTCTTACAGGTTATATAAAATGATAAGGCTTTGACAATTTAAATAGTAGGGTGCTTGTTATTAAGTTTCCTTAAAATATATATGTAAATTTTTTTTTAGAGACAGCGTCTTACTCTAATGCCCCAGGCTAGAGTGCTAAGGGGCACCTAGTTCACAGCAACCTCAAACCCTGGGGCTAGTGATCTGCCTGCCTCAGTCTCCCAAGTAACTGGGACTACTGGCACCGCTGCAGTCTCACTCTGTCTCCCTTAGTAGAGTGCCATGGCATCATAGCTCACAGGAACCTCAAACTTTTGGACAAAAGTGATCCTCTTGGAACTGAATCCCTAATCCTCACAGAAATTCTCTCTTGGTAGGGAATAGCAAAATCCTATCGTCTGGCCAGATCAACTTGTACTTTTATCTAAACTACACGGGGTAGGAGTAGATGATTTTAGGACTCTTCCCAGTCATTGTACCAACTCAAAATGCCCTGGTCCCTCTTTTCCAAATCCCCAAGAGCAGCGCTGTCCCCAGTAGAACACTGAGCCCATCCCTAATCCCATCTCTTGTCTCTCATGCTCAGTGCTTCATGTTACCAAACACGTGGTACTCTTTTACTGTTTCCAGTAACTGGAATACTTTTCTTTGACTCTCATTTAGAACATTTCTACTCATTCCTTTTCTTTTTTCAAGACAGTCTCACTTTGTCACCCTCAGGAGAGTGCCAAGGCATCAAGGCTCACAGCAACCTCCAACTCTTGGGCTCAAGCGATTCTCTTGCCTCAGCCTCCCTAGTAGCTGGGACTACAAGGCACCTGCCACCATGCCTGGCTGTTTTTAGAGATGCGGTCTTGCTCTGGCTCAGGCTGGTCTCAAACCTGTGAGCTTAGGGCAATCCAGCTCCCTCAGCCTTCCAGAGTGTTAGGTTTACAGGTGGGAGCCACCTTACTTGGCTTCTAATTATTCTTTAGATCTCAGTTCACATGTCAACTCCTTTTGGATACCCATCATGCTGATGTCTAAGCTGGGCTAGGTGTTCCCCCAGGGACCAAGCTCTATGCAATTGCCTGGTAAAATAACTTCCCCCAACTCGTCCATGAATTCTGGATATCACTATTACCTCTCACACCAAGAACTATATTTAGCATATGGTAAATGCTATTACATAGGTACTGAATGAATATTTTAAGAGAGTGAGAAAATAAGAAAGATTCAGTTGTTTATCCAGTAGTCTAAAGCAGAAACAATATGTTTGATAGATGTAAGTTTTCCAGTAATTAGAAAAGTCCCTGCTTTTCAATGCAACCTACTTCTGTAAATGCCTCATAAAATGGATGCAAAAGACTATACTTGCACCAGGAGTTCAGTAATGTCATAAAAAAGTCTCCACTTGGGCGGTGCCTGTGGCTCAGTGGGTAGTGCACCAGCCCCAAATACGGAGGGTGGCAGGTTTGAACCTGGCCCCAGCCAAACTGCAACAAGAAAGAGCCTGGCGTTGTGGCAGGCACCTGTGGTCCCAGTTATTTGGGAGGCTAAGGCAAGAGAATTGCCTAAGCCCAGGCGTTGAGGTTGCTGTGAGCTGTGATGCTACAGCACTCTACTGAGGGTGACATAGTGAGACTCTGTCTCAAAAAAAAAAAAAAAGAAAAGAAAAGAAAAAAAGTTTCCACTTGGGTGGGGGTGGAAAACAAAAAGTCTCCACTATTCCCATAAAAAAACTCCAATAACTTCAAAATATAATTAAAGACAGTAAAAACTATATTCTGGCATATATGGCCTTCATCAATTATACCAAGGCTGGTAAAATTACAACTCATCAATAATACTGAGACAGGAATAATAATCGAAAACAAGTTTAAGTATTTATATATTTTAGCCTCTAGGAAGGTATCTTCCCTTTCAGAAAAATTCAGAAGCATTCTAGTTTATATATTAGTGTAATTTTACTTTGATGAGTGTATTTAGTCTTTTCAGAGAATTGATTGATGTTGACTCTGTCTTGCCTTTAGCACACAGCACTTAAAATTCTAAGGTCTGGCAGAATAGCAAGACTACCACACACAAGTCACATTACCAATATGATGAACGTTTTCCTTGATGACCTCACATTCTATTGGCCATCTTGGAGCTTCCAGTGGCCCGTTGGTAGAGAAAAAGCCAAAGAGCTCTTGGGGTTCTCGAAGACGTGGGTATACTCTGTCTAACTCATCATAAAGAAGCTGTCTGGTTCTAAGAATTGGTGAACTCAGCGTAAATGAATCTGCCAAAGGGAAAGGGAGTAAGTGAACATCTTTCTTTTCCTCCTTAGGAACTTTAACTCATTTATAACAATGAAATAAATGTAAGCACTATATTAAAATGTCAGTATAGATATATAATTTTTTTTTTTTGAGACAGAGCCTCAAGCTGTCCCCTTGGGTAGAGTGCTGTGGCATCACAGGTCACAGCAATCTCCAACTCCTGGGCTTAGGTGATTCTCTTGCCTCAGCCTCACGAGTAGCTGCAACTACAGGCGCCTGCCACAAGGCCCGGCTATTTTTTTGTTGCAGTTTGGCCAGGGCCGCGTTTGAACCTGCCACCCTCGGTATATGGGGCCGGCGCCCTACCCACTGAGCCACAGGCGCCAACCAGTTAGAAGCTTTTTTAAAAATTAAAGTTAATGAGTCTAAGAAATTTCAACAGTGGGTTACAATGAATAAAAAATTACTTAATGTATTTTATTTTTTTTGTTTAGAGACTGATGAGAGGAAACATTAGCATTTTAGAAAAAATACATAAAACGCTATTAACTACAGTGAAATATTCTACAGATTAAATTTTAGTTCCATAATATAACCAAAGGATAGAGACTTATAAAACAAAGAGGATAGAAAGGAGAAGGGGAGAACAGGACTGAGAAAGGGCAGAAGAGAGGAAGGACATCTCTTAGGAAAGAGAGAATGAGACAAAAGAGGAAAAGAAAGACTTTTTGGGAGACAGAAAAAGAAAGCATATGAGATGAAGAAAGGAAAAATGCATACAAAAAGGGGAACTAAATGCTGACAGCCCCTCAGTGCCCATCAGACATGAATTCCAGGCTTGTCTGATAATTTTTGGTTTGGGTGCTGAAGACATATTCCCATAAAGAAACTTGAATGTTCTGGTCTGGAAGGATATGAAATACCTCTGCTTACAGCTTCTATCTGTTTCTGCCCAGCTGAAGGTAAACAGGTAGACCCTGGAAAGAAGAAGAGGAGGTACAGTTTGTCCTAGGGATTTTTGTCTTTCTTTTTTTTTTTTTCTGTCCACTGTCCCCATCCTGTCTTACTTCCCACGCCCATGATGGGGGCCTGTATTATTATATATGTAAATCTTTTCCCCACATTTCAATGGGGGAAAAGAGGAAGGCAATAAACATCTGAAAATTACTTATAACTAAAGAAATATAAATCAAACTGATAAGGAGATACCAATTTTACCTAATGGATAGGAAAGATGTGTTTTCACAATCATCCTGGCAAGGGTTTAAGTAAACAGAACCTGCTGTCAAGAGGGCAAATTGGTGCAACCTTTCTAAACCTCTCCAGAAGGTTTAAATAGTATCTAATACAATTTATAATAGACACAATTTTTGGATCTAGCAATCCCACAGCTAAGAATTTATCTTAAATATTTTCTCAAAAAGTTCATAAATACCACCTTCCCCTCTCTCACTCCCTGCTCTCTGCTTTCTCATCTCTTCCCCTATCTTCCGTTTCTCTAATATAAAATAAACTTATACTTTTATATTCTAAGGAAAATTTCATCAATATACATATACTCATTGCATATATAGATGCTTATGTAGCAACGTTCAAATAACAAGAAAATGGAACAAAGCATCCATCAAAAGGGAAGTTTAAATAATTGCGCCTAATTAATGAGATGGAATAGATGCCTTTAAAAAGAATGAGGTGGGCGGTGCCTGTGGCTCAGTGAGTAGGGCACGGGCTCCATATACCGAGGGTGGTGGGTTTGAACCCGGCCCTGGCCAAACTGCAACAAAAAATAGCCGGGCGCTGTGGTGAGCACTTGTAGTCCAAGCTACCTGGGAGGCTGAGGCAGGAGAATCGCCTAAGCCTAAGAGCTGGAGGTTGCTATGAGCTTTGACACCATGGCACTCTACAGAGGGAGACAAAGTGAGACTCTGTCTCTAAAAAAAATAAAAATAAAAAAAAATAAAAAGAATGAGGTAAAGTCTGGCTACACAGGAGACTGAGCTAGAAGGAATGCTTGAACCCAGGAGTTCAAGACCAGCCTGGGCAATAGTGAGACCCTGGCTCTACCAAAAAAAATTAGCCAGGCCTGGTGGTAGGCACTTGTAGTTCTAGCTACTTGGGAGACTGAAGTAAAAGAATCACTTGAGTACAGAAGTTTGAGGTTGCACTGAGCTATGACTGTGCCACCGCCCTCTAGCCCAGGTGACAGAGTGAGACTGTATCTCAAAAAGAATGAGATAAATCCTTTTGGTGCCTATCTCTAACATGTATTATTAAACAAACAAAAAAATCAAAGAAGATTGTGTATAGAATACCCTGTGGGCAATTAAAAAGTAATAACATATAGATACTTATGGACATATTCCTTTTTTTTCCTGAAAATAATTATAAGTGCATTAAGGGTAGGACAGGAAGGGCTTTTTGCTATTGTTTGAACTTTTAAACCATATACTGTATGTTCCTTTTTTTTTTTTGCCGTTTTTGGCCAGGTTTGGGTTTGAACCCGCCACCTTCGGCATATGGGGCCAGTACCCTACTCCTTTGAGCCACAGGAGCCGCCGCCCTTTTTTCTTTTTTTCTTTTTTTAAAACAAACAGATTATAATCCATTTTTTTTCCTTGTGTTCTTTTCTGGTTATAAAAACAACAGGGCTCAGTGCAGTGGCTTAAACTCATACCTGATTATCACGGAGGCTGCCTCTACAAAAAAATAGAAAACTTCTGAGCAGTGGTTAGGGCACCAGCCATATGCACAGGGCTGGCAGGTTCGAACCTTGCCTGGGACTGCTAAATGACAATGACAACGACAACAATGAGGACGAGGACGAAAACAAAATAGCTAGGCATTGTGGTAGGCACCTGTAGTCTCAACTACTTGGGAGGTCGTGGCAAGAGAATTGCTTAAGTCCAAGAGTTTGAGGTTGCTGTGAGCTGTGATGCCACAACATTCTACTGAAGGCAACATAGTAATACTGTCTCAAAAAAAAGAAAAATAGAAAAATTAGCTGGGTGTGGTGGCATCTGAAGTCCTAAACAGCTGGGAGGTTAAGGCAAATCAACAAAAAACTGTAAATGCTTTGCTAGAAAGATTATTTTCCTTGCTCCAATGATCAGAACAGAAAATTACACTATGACTAAAACTCATTCACATTGCTGTGAATTTTGTACTTTAATGCTTTTTAGTATATAAAGGCTAGGAGTTGTTTCTTTCTAATTGAATATTGAGTGTCAATAATTGGACCAGGGAAAACTGAAGGGGAGGTCAGTTGGCTCTGGCACATCTCACTCTGACTAGTCTCCTCTGTTGCTCTCCTGCCTCTTCTCCGTTAAGCTACATTCTCCTGAATTCCCATAGCAGTTACTAGGCAGTGAGGCTCTTGGGGAGAGGAGTATCACACATAATGATATATTACTCACATAGAAGCTTCTCTTTTTGCAGGGTGTCTGATATAAAATCATCTCTTTCCCCAAAAGAGCTGTTCAACAGGTGTCGAGGTTTATTCTTCCAAACACGCTGATGTGTAGCAGATTCTGTTAAACTGCCTCTCTGTCCTAAGAATAAGCAGTTTTATTAAAGTTGCTTATCACATCTTAACATCTAGGTCAATACCAAACCTCTACTACCTAAATCACCACTTCTTCTATCACCATTCACTACCACAGGGCTTTGCAATGAGCATGTGCCACTTTTCAAAGAGCTTTCACATTTCAACTTCTGTTAGGCATTAATTATCCCCATTTTACAATTGAGGAAACAAGAGAACAAGCAGGAAGACCTGAGCAGCAGCCTGCTGTAAGGGAACAAGAAAGGACTTGGGAGACACAAAGACCTGGTAGCTTCAGCATGCCTGAATGTTTTTTTTTTTTTTTTTTTAATTTTCTGAAACAGAGCCTCAAGCTGTTGCCCTGGGTAGAATGCCTTGGCATCACAGCTCACAGCAACCTCCTACTCCTGGGCTCAGGCAATTCTCCTGCCTCTGCCTCCCAATTAGCTGGGACCACAGGCGCCCACCACAACACCCAGCTATTTTTGGTTGCTACCATCATTGTTGTTTGGTGGGCCTGGGCTAGATTTGAACCTGCCAGCTCATGTGTATGTGGCTAGTGCCTTAGCTGCTTGAGCCACAGGTGCTGAGCCACGCCTGAACGCTTTGAACTAAAATAGGAAGGCCTTAGAAAATGCCTCTTAGGCTCAGTGCCTGTAGCTCAGTGGTTAGGGTGGCTGGCCACATACACTGGGGCTGGCGGTTTTGAACCCAGGCCCGGACTTGCTAAATAATGACAACTATAACAAAAAAAATAGCTGGGTGCCTGTAGTCCCAGCTACTTGGGAGGCTGAGACAAGAGAATCACTTAAGCCCAAGAGTTTGAGGTTGCTGTGAGCTGTGATACCAACAGCACTCTACTGAGGACAATATAGTAAAACTCTGTCTCAAAAAAAAAATAAAAGAAAGAAAGAAAAAAGAAAATGCCTCCTACACAAGGACTTTTAGACCTCTCCTGTTTCCCCACCACTCCAAGGGCAGGGAAGGAGGAGGACTCTCTCTGAAATTTCCTTATCTAAGGAAACTTTTTTCCAAAAGAAAAGCAATTGTCAGGGTGGTGCCTGTGGCTCAAAGGAGTAGGGCGCCAGCCCCATATGCTGGAGGTGGCAGGTTCAAACCTAGCCCTAGCCAAAAAAAAAAAAAGAAAAGCAATTGTCTTAAGACCTCCACCCAAGAAATTTCACCAAATAATCAGGAAAAATTAACCACTACAGAAGAAAAGAAACTAAAAGTCCCCTCCTGACAAAGTCAGACTCTGTCTGAAAAATAAAATAAATAAATAAATAAAAGTCCCCTCCACACCCAGATAGACTTTTTTTTAAGAGAAAGTGAGACTCTGTCTCAAAAATAAAATTAAAAAAAATAAATAAAAGTTCCCTCCACATCCAGATAGACTTTTCTTTCTTTCTTTTTATTTTTTAGAGACAGTCTCGCTTTGTTAGAGTGCCTTGGCGTCACAGCTCACAGCAACCTCCAGCTCTTGGGCTTAGGTGATTCTCTTGGCTCAGCCTCCCTAGTAGCTAGGACTACAGGCACCCACCACAATGCGCGGCTATTTTTCTTGTTGCGGTTTGGCTGGGGCTGGGTTCAAATCTACCACCCTTGGTATATGGGGCCAGCACTCTACTCACTGGGCCACAGGTGCCGCCCAGATACTTTTCATCTATTCTGTGGGCAACTCTGAAAAAATTACCTGGAGACTATCTGCATAATAAGATAATCTTTGTTCAGAGTGAAGTTCTGCCCCTCCCCTTCCTGCCACCTCTCCCAGAACCCAGAGGAAGTTTGTCCCAGAAAAGTTCTCCATTTTTGTTTGGGATCATTCATTTCCCCTGAAAATGTTTTACTACCCTTCACAAGTACCTAGACCACCGCCTTTCCCTCTCTCCTATGAAGAAAATATATAAACTTCAATCATCTGGCACTTTGAGTTTCATATATGTGGGAATTCTCTGTCCATACACCTATTTAGTTGTATGCCTTTTTATCCTATTAATCTGTCTATTGTCAGTCAGCAATCCTTCAGAGGACAGAAGGGAAGCTTTCCCTCTGCTCCTACAGCTGCCAAGAAAGCCAAACCTGGGTGAAGGCAAGTATCAGAATGGCTGTGGAGCACTGATGCCCAAAGCCACTTTGTCCTGAGGGCATTTGCTCAATCTAGCAAACTAGCAATTAAGTTTTCAACAAATTAGTAATCACTTAAATGAAATACAGTGGTTCTCTCTTAATCATGGTTTTGCTTTCCGCAGTTTCTGAAGTGCAGTGGTCTGAAAATTAAATGGAAAGGTATAGAAATAAGCAATTCTTAAAATTTTTTTTTTTTTACTGCATGCCATGTAAAAAAACATGCTCTGTCTGTACATTATCCTTTGTCCAGCATATCTATAATATATGTGCTAACTGCCTGCGAGTTACTTAGAAACTGTTGCTGTTATCAGATCGGCTGGTATCATAGTGCTTATGTTCAAGTAACCCTTATTTTACCTAATAATGGCCTCAAAATGCAGTAGTAGAGATGATGGCAATTCATATATGCCAAGGAGACATCATAAACTGTTTCCTTCAAGTGAAAAGGTAAAAGTTCTTGACATAAGGAAAAAAATTATCTGGTGAGTTTGCTAAATCCTGCTATAAGAATGAATCTTCTGTCTGTGCAATTGTGAAGAATGAAAAAGAAATCTGTGCTAGTGTTGTCACAACTCAAACTGCAAAAGTTAAGGCTATAGTGTACTTAGTTAAGGTAGAAAAGAAAATTTGTGGATGGAAAATATGAACTGAACCTTGTTCTGACAGTAATTGAATTCAATAGTATCTGTGGTTTCAGGTATTCATTGGGAGTCTTGGAATATATCCCCTGTAGATGGGGAGGGGGGCTATAGTAGTTAATAAGAAAGTTTAATGAGCTTGTTAGAGATAAAAACCATTCCAATTTTAGTATATGTGCTGCTGAAGCAAGCAAAGATACTAAAAACTTGGCCAGCTGGGCACAGTGGCTCATGCCTGTAATCCCAGCATTTGGGAGGCTCAGTTTAAGACCAACCTGAGCAAGAACAAGACCCCATTTCTAAAAGTAGCTGGGTGCTGTGGCAGGTGCCTGTAGTCCCAGCTACCTGGGAAGCTGAGGCAAGGGAACTGCATGAACCCAAGAGTTTGAGGTTACTGTGAGCTAAGATGCCATGCACTTTACCAAGAGTGACCAAGTAAGACTGTCTCAAAAAAAAAAAAAAAAAAAATGGCCACTTGCAGTAGCTCATGCCTGTAATCCCAGCATTTTGGGAGGCCAAGGCAGGAGGATCACTTGAGCCCATGAGTTGGAGGTAGCAGGGGGCTATGATCACATTACTATACTCCATCCAGCCACAGAATGAGACTTTGTCTCTAAAATAGAAGAAAAACAATTCCAATTTATTTCTATATACCAGCCACAAAATAAGAAAATTAAAATTTAGACTAGGTGCGGTGGCTTGCACCTTTAAATCCAGCATTCTGGGAGGCCGAGGCCATGGATTGCTTGGAGTCAGGAATTCAAGACAAGCCTGAGCAAGAGTGAGACCCTCATATCTCTACTAAAAACAGGAAAACTAGGCTTGGTGCCTGTGGCTCAAGTGGCTAAAGCGCCAGCCATATACACCTGAGGTGGCGGGTTCGAATCCAGCCCAGGCATGCCAAACAACAATGACAGCTGCAACCAAAAAATAGCCAGGCGTTGTAGTGGGTGCGTGTGGCCCCAGCTACTTGGGAGGCAGAGGTAGGAGACTCTGAGCCCAGGAGTTGGAGGTTGCTGTGAGCTGTGATACCACAGCACTCTACCCAGGGCAATGGCTTGAGGCTCTGTCTTGGGGGAAAAAAATAAATAAATAAAATAAAAACAGAAAAACTTGCTGGCTATCATGGTGCATACTTGTAGTCCCAGTTACCTGGGAGGCTGAGGCAAGAGGATTGCTCAAGCCTAAGACTTTGAGGTTGCTGTGAGCTATGATGGTAGGCACTCTAGTCTGGGGCAATAAGAGTGAGACTCTGTCTCAAAAGAAAAAAAAATTAAAAATTTAACATTTATAAAAAATAAAAAGATTAGGGGGTGCCCATAGCTCAGTGGGTAGGGTGCCAGCCACATACACCGAGGCTGGCGGGTTCAAACCCTGCCCGGGCCAGCTAAAACAACAATGACAATTGCAACAAAAGAACAGCCAGGTGTGGTGGTGGATGCCTGTAGTAACAGCTACTAGGGAGGCTGAAGCAAGAGAATTGCTTGAGCCTAAGAGTTTGAGGTTGCTGTGAGCTGTGATGCCATAGCACTCTAGCCAGGATGACAGCTTGAGACTCTGTCTCAAACAAAAAACAACAAAAAAAAAGTAAAATAAAATAAAAATAAAAAGATTAGTTGGCTGGGTGTAATGGCTTATGCCTGTAATCCCGCACTCTGAGAGGCCGAGGTGAGTAGATTGCCTGAGCTCACAGGTTTGACAACAGCCTTAGCCAGAGAGAGACTGAATCTCTAAAAATAGCCCAGCATTGTGGCTGGCACCTGTAGTCCCACCTATTCAGGAGGCTGAGGCAAGAAAATCACTTCAGAGTGAGTTGAATTTGAGTTTGAGGTTGCTGTGAACTATGATGCCATGACACTCTACTGAGGGCTACAAGTGAGACTCTGTCTCAAAAAAAGAAAAGAAAAGAAAAGAAAAGAAATTATAGTGAATCTATATAGATTATTATTTCACAAGAAATGGCAATTATCCAAAAGTGGGTTCTCCAATCTGCAAAAATAGTACATATTTCCATTCACTTATATCTTCTTTAGTGTCTCCCAATAAAAATATAGTTTTTTTTTTTTGAGACAGAGTCTCTGTTGCCCCAGGCTAAAGTTCTATGGCATCATAGTTCACAGCAACCTCAAACTCTTGTATATAAGGGATTGATTCTTTTGCCTCAGTCTCCTGAGTAGCTGGGACCACAGATACCCGCCATAATGCCTGGTTAATTTTTCTATTTTTATTAGAGATGGGGTCTCATTCTTGCCCAGGCTGGTCTCAAACTCCTGAGTTCAAGCAATCTAGATGCCTCATACTCCCAGAGTGGATTACAGGGGTGAGCCACTGCACATGGTCAAAATGTAGTTTTTTTCATAGTACTTCATATTGTATACTATGTTAATCTTTTTTTTTTTTTTTTTTAAGACAGAGTCTCACTTTATCACCCTCGGTAGAGTGCCGTGGCATCACAGCTCACAGCAACCTCCAACTCCTGGGCTTAGGTGATTCTTTTACCTCAGCCTCCCGAGTAGCTGGGACTACAGGTGCTTGCCATAACGTCCGGCTATTTTTTTGTTGCAATTGGCCGGGGCTGGGTTTGAATGTGCCACCCTTGGTATATGGAGCCGGTGGCCTACTCATTGAGCCACAAAATGTTAATCTTTTTTTTTTTTGAGACAGAGTCTCACTTGTAGCCCTTGGTAGAGTGTCATGGCATCATAGTTCACAGCAACCTCAAACTCAAACTCACCTCACTCTGAAGTGATTTTCTTCAAGCTGAGCTCAAATTCTTGGGCTCAAGTGATTCTCTTGCCTCAGCCTCCTGAACAGCTGGGACTATAGGTGCCTGCCACAATGCCTGGCTATTTTTTAGAGACAAGGTCTCACTCTGGCTCAGGCGGGTCTTGAACCGGTGAGCTCAGGTAATCCACCTACCTTGGCCTCCCAAGTGCTAGGATTACAAGTGTGAACCATCACACCCAGCCACTGCAATTTCCATAATTTTTTAAAAATATCATAAGTCAATTCAAAGACTCAAGAATAGTCATGACACTTTTTTTTTTTGAGAGAGTCTCACTTTGTCATCCTTGGTAAAGTACTGTAGTGTCATAGTTCACAGCAACCTCCAACTCTTGGGCTCAAGCAATTCTTTTGCCTTAGTCTCCCAAGTAGCTGGGACTACAGGTGCCTGCCACAAGGCCCGGCTATTTTTAGAGGCAGGGTCTCACTCTTGCTTAGGCTGGTCTTGAACTCGTGAGCTCAGGCAATCCACCCACCTCGGTCTCCCAGAGTGCTAGGATTATAGGTGTAAGCCATCATGCTCAGTCTTTAGTCATGATGCTTTTGAAGAACAAGGCAAAAAGACAGGCCAGGAGTGGTGGCATACACTTGTAGTCCCTGCTATGTGGGAGGCTAAGGTAGGAAGATCCCTTGAGACCTGGAGTTCAAATACATCCTGGACAACATAATGAAACTCTGTCTCTCTCTTTCTTTTTTGAGACAGGATCTCAGTCTATTGCCTGAGCTAGAGTGAAGTGATGTTATCATAACTAACTGCAACCTCCAATACCTAGGCTAAAGGGACCCTCCTGCCTCAGCCTCCCAAGTTGCCAGGACTATCGGTGTATACCACCACATCTGGCTAATTTATTTATTTATTTTTTAGAGATGGGGTCTTGCTATGTTGCCCAGGCTGGTCTTCAACTCCTGGCCTTAAGCAATCCTCTTGCCTTGGTCTCACAAAGAACTAGGATTATAGGCATTTGAGTCACTGTTTCTGGCCAATACCCTGTCTCTTCAAAAGAAGAAAAAGGTGGAAGACAAGCCTCTCCAGACACCAAAATAATTTTAATGCCATGTAGTAATTACAAGTAAGCGATATTAGTGCAAGGATAGACAAATAGACAAATAGACTAATGAAATAAAGCTGAGAAACAGATCTTTGTATACAGCAATTCTGTCACTTAAGAGTGACATAGCAGATCAATAGGGAAAGGAAGTACTTTTCATCTAGCAGTACTATCCAACCACACCTCTCCCAGTTAATGAAACAATTCACTTTAAGACCCCAGGAAAGGTGATGTTAGGTAAGAATACAGTATTACCTTTAAAGTAGCCATAATACCGAAGGTGATGGTACATAAAGTCTTCATAGGGATCAGGATGAGCCTGTTTAAGGAAAGGCGAACTCTATCATAATAGTCCTTTGAGATGATAATAAACCTTTAAAAAGTACACAAGCAGGCCAGGTTCGGTGGCTCACACCTGTAATCCCAGCACTTGGGAGGCCCAGGTGGCCAGAGCTCATAAGTTCAAGACCAGCCTGAGCAAGAGATCCCATCTCTGAAAAACACTCTACCAAGGGTGACCAAGTGACTCTTGTCTCAAAAAAAAAAAAAAAAGAAAGTACACAAGCATTGATTGGACGGTGTACTTGAGAATGTCTATAAACAAACCAAGACTTTCATACACATTATTGTATCTTGGGGATCAAGACCTCCAGCTAGAAAATGGTGCCACCAGAATATCCTTTCTGATCTAGTATTGGATTTTGCGGAGTTCACAGAGAGGGTTGTGTACCGACCTCCTGCTTCAGCTCTGTTTCCAATGCTGGGAACATGTTACTTCTGCATGGTATGATGTAGTCCAGTCAGTGACACTGGCATCCAGATGCACCTCCTGCCCACTTTCCAAATAAGCAGGTGATTACGCAGGAGATGCTACAAAGCCAGAACAGGACAATTAAGAAAAACTGTCGGTCACTCTTTTTCCTCCACTCTACATCCAGCTTTTCGCTTGAGGAAACCCTGTCATCCCAGCCTGTCCTCAAACGACCCAGCAGGTGGTTCCCCCCTCGAGCTGGGAGGTGCACCTGAGAGTCAGAAAGGGTTCTGCGTCTTCCCGAGGGCCAGGCCCCACGCTTTCCTCTCCCTGAGGAGGGAGACGCCCGCCACCAAGATGCTACGGGAAAGTGAAGGTGAGGGTAGGGGCACGAGGCCGAGTCGTCTCCGGGTATTTGGAAAAGAAAGGTCAGGGGTGGGGAGGGTGGGCCCTGAGAAGGGAATTTAGGGATTGGTTCCCAGCTGTTTGGCCCAGGGGAGGTGGTGAGGTTTCATATGGGTTGGAGGGAGTAGGGTAAGTAGAAATATCCTAAGAAGGCAGAGAAAAGGTACGACCACCTCCAAGCCCCAGCTTGTCCCGGGCAGCAAGGGTGGGCGCAAGGCCAGCGGCAGCAGAGAAGCCTGGGCTAGGCGGGAAGACGGCAGTGTACCAGGGAGAGGATACGCTGCAGCCTTCACCCACCACCGCTTTTCTGTGAGGGCCGGAGTAACCTAGCAACCGAGCGGGAAGCGGGAGGGTGGGGCAATCTCGCGTTTCCGGGGAGCCGGGCCCCGCCCCCAAAGACGGGGCGGGGAAACCTGGGAAGGTCAAGTGTGGCGGGTCGTGGCAGTTTAAACTTAACACTTCCTTCACACTGTATAGCCCTAATCCGGGGATCGAAATCGGATTGAGGAGTACAATGCCAGTAGCCTTCAACGTTATTTCCCGGTTCGTTTGCAGTTCCTTAGCTTTAGTAACTGCTAAATGCTTTGCTCCAAGGGAACTGCTTCCCCTTTCACCTCACATTGCCTTCACACTTAGAGGCAGAAGAAAAAATTACCTTCTTACGTTGAAAAATCACAAGAAACGAAGTTAGAAAATAAATACCACGCAATTCAACTCATTAGTTTAAAAAAATTTAATTATATGCATAGAAATATACTGGAATAAAATTCAAACTATTGTTATCTTTGGTTAACTTTATATGACGGCAGCCATATCTATTACTTTTAGAATCAGAGTGGGAAAGAGAAAAGCTATAAAGCACCTTTATTTTTTAACACATTACATCATTTCCAGGACTTAAGTAGGTCAAATATTAAGTTAATATCATAAGAGTACAAACCAAAAATTTAAGTCATACAGCACCTTCTGGTACTCGAGGCCTGTTTTATAACCCTGCCCCACTAATCCCCCTCCTTTCCTACCCAAGATCCTGCTGTTCTTTTCCTGAAAGCAGTTCAATTGGTTTGCACATGCCTTGCACTGTATTTGATTAGAAAAAAACAATTAAGAATTGACTTAAAATAAGTCCTGGTTACATAATCAGGGTTACCAGGCTTTGAAGAGCAAAAGGATAACCAATCAGAAGTATAAAAAAAGCTTTATTAGTGCATATATACAAATTTACAAGGTCAAAAACTGGAGAAATACAAACAGTTTAAAAACACAATTTGCCTTTTCTTCAGTTTAAAGTGACTTTTACCTGATTGTGGTACCAACAGAATGTACAGAACAGTAAACTGCTTTTTAAATACTGGAATTTTATGGAGAAAATATTCACACAAAGAGAGGTAAATTCTGGACCAGAGTAAGACAACCAAGACACATTGATACAGTGACTTTTGCTGCACTTACTGCCACATACTCAAGGGGAAAATTCTCAAAATCAAGGATAGGAACACAAGCTGTGGCTGCTTGTATTAAATTTAAGTATGCCCCCTAGTGTGTGAAATGACTGAGCCATCAGTTCTAGAGTTGGTCAGAAAGAACTACTTAAAGACTGTGGCCAACTATCAGCACAAGGTAAACCACTTGACAGCACTTCAGGGGTGGCAGACTAGGGGAAGAGGTCAGAGATCCTGGCAATCCCAGTTAAGCAAAGTCAAATACAGAGCTGCCTTCGGAATTGACAGAAGTCAATGAGAGCCTGTGCCACACTAGAACTAAATTAACCTATTAGGCAGGAATATTCTTCACTTTTTGCCATTGAGCCCCACGAAAGTATCAGATTTGTGTGCCACATGTTCCTCAAGATTGATGAGGTGAATATACCTAACATGCTAAGTTTTGCCAGTGTGATAATAAAGGCAGCCAGGTCAAAGCAATTCCATCACCTCACCTTTCAGGAAAACAGAAAAATTACAATTCACAAGTGTGAAAACTTTGTATCATATGTTCTTGACCAGGAAGTTCGTATGCTCTCCCCCTCAACATTTATAGTTTATTTGACAATGGTAAAACTGGTTAAGACTCTGAAATAAACACAAAACAAATTAAAATTTTTTCTTTAGATTTAAAAACTAGGTGTTTGGAGTCATTTTCCTTCTCTTCAGTCTTGCTCGCCAATCTTCAGGAAGAGCTTCAAAATTAGCATTTCTCTCTGCCATGCCACTGTGAAAACAACATACAATTACCTCACTGGAAAGAAAGAGAACAAAAGTGCTCACTTCCTAGCAAATAAAATCCTCTCACCTCTAAAATTGAAAACTTGATCTATCATGTCTGTTTATAAAATCTTTTTTAAGTTTCTCAACTAAATATAAGCATGTTCTTCAAATTTTTGAATTCTGATAGGCCAACCAAACACACACATCTATATACACTCTCATTTTATGTACACATGTAAGTGCATATTTATTTTATATAAACATATCTCCAATAACCATTAAAGCCACCCTGAAGGAATAAAATACCTTTTTACTAAAGTTTTTCTCCTAGCTCATAGAAGGCACAATTCTTTAAGGTGGATGTATTTGACCTTGAACATATATAATCAGGGTAAAATTTCTCTTGAGAAAAAAAAAATTTTTTTTTTTTTTTTTTTTTTTTGAGACAGAGTCTCACTTTATTGCCCTTAGTAGAGTGGAGTGGTGTCACAGCTCACAGCAACCTCCAACTCCTGGGCTTAGACAATTCTCTTGCCTCGCTCGGCCTTGGCGACTACAGGCATCCGCCACAATACCTGGCTATTTTTTTTGGTGCAGTTTGGCGGGGCCAGGTTTGAACCTGCCACCCTCAGCATATGGGGCTGGCACCCTACCCACTGAACCACAGATGCCGCCCTCTCTCTCTTTTTTTTGTGGTTTTTGGCCAGGGCTGGGTTTGAATCCATCACCTCTAGCATATGGGGCCGGCGCCCTATTCCTTGAGCCACTGATGCCGCCCCACGGACATCAATATTTATGAGATGGTTATTTTTGTTTGGAGACAGAGTCTCTCTCAGTTGCCCTGGGTAGAGTGCCCTGGCTTCATAGCTCACAACTGCAAACTCCTGGGCTTAAGTGATCCTCTTATCTCAGCCTCCCAAGTAGCTGGGACTACAGGCACCTGCCACATTTTCTATTTTGAGTAGAAACAGGATCTTAATTTTACTCAGGCTGGTCTTCAACTCCTAAACTCACTCAAGGGCTCCTCCTGCCTTGGCCTCTTAGAGTGCTAGGATTACAGGTGTCAGCCACCACACCTGACCTCTTTCTAAAATTTATGAGGCCGGGTATGATGACTCACACCTGTAATCCTTGCACTCTGGGAGGCTGAGGCAGGTGGATAACTTGAGCTCAGGGTTTTGAGACTAGACTGAGCAAGAGTGAGACCCTGTCTCTGCTAAAATAGAAAAACTAGTTGGGCACTGTGGTGGGTGCCTGTAGTCCCAACTACTTGGGAGGCTGAGGCAGGAAACAGCTTGAACCCAAGAGTTTACGGTTGCTGTGAGCTATGACGCCACAGCACTCTACCAAAGGCAACTGAGTCAAACTGTCTCAAAAAAAAAAAAAAAAAAAAGCCCTGTTTAATCCTCTAGACTTAAGAACCCTAGATAAAAGAGTCCACGGGAGATTCCTGAGTGAGTTCTTCAGTTCTTTCCCCCTTCCACCCTTCCAGAAGCTCTGGTGGCTTTTTACATCTTCTGTATCCCTTTCTCACTTCTAATAAAAGTCCTATCTTACCTCTTTAAAAAAATGATAATGACGTTTTCTCCCTATCTCTTTATCAATTATTTGTAAAATAAGTTATAAAAAATGGTCCATTGGATCTAGATGGTAAATGTATATAACTGTTTTTCCTGTCCTAAGACAATTAGCAGGAAAAAACATTACAACTCTGGTATTTCCTTTTGTTGTTTGTTTTAGAGACAGAGTCTCCCTTGGTAGAGTGCTGTGGCGTCACAGCTCACCTCCAGCTCTTGGTCTTAGGTGATTCTCTTGCCTCAGCCTCCTGAGTAGCTGGGACCACAGGCACCCACTGCAAGGCCTGGCTATTTTTTGTTGCAGTTTGGCCAGGGCTGGGTTTGAACCCGCCACTCTCGGTATATGGGGCCAGCGAGCCACAGGTGCCACCCACAACTCTGGTATTTCTGATTTTAATAAAATCTCTAGAACACAATTTTTTTTTTGAGACAGAGCCTTATTAACCTATTGCCCTGGGTAGAATGCTGTGGCATCACAGCTCATAGCAACCTCCAACTCCTGGGCTTAAGCAATTCTCTTGCCTCAGCCTCCTGAGTAGCTGGGACTACAGGCACCTGCCACAAAGCCTGGCTACTTTTTGGATGTAGTTGTCACTGTTTGGCAGGCCTGGGCCGGATTCAAACCCGACAGCTCTAGTGTATGTGGCTGGCACTGCCTGAGCTACAGGCACCACCAGGGACAGAGTTCTATGTTGTTGCCCTCGGTAGAGTGCTATAGACTCTAGACCACAATTTTTTTTTTTTTTTTTGAGACAAGAGTCTCACTTTGTCTCCCTCAGTAGAGTGCCATAGTGTCATAGCTCGCAGCAACCTCAAACTCTTGAGCTTAAGGG